CCGGTAACTACGTCATTGGTCTCGATGAGGGCCGTGACCACGACCATGACCACGATGATGAGGACGAGGATGACTACGACCTGTCTCCCGATGAGGATGAGCTCGACATGGATGACCTCATGGCCATGCAGGATGATGATGAGAGCGATGATCTTGATGACATGGAGGACCCTAGAATCACCGAGGTTGAAAGCGAGGAGGAGGCTCCTAAGCTTGTTGAGGCCAAGAAGGGCAAGAACAAGCGCGCCGCTGAGGAGGAAGCCAGCCTCGATGATATGATGGCTAAGGCCAACAAGGCCAAGTCTACCAAGGCTGAGGAGCCCGCCTTGACCAAGGCTCAGCAGAAGAAGCTTAAGAAGAACAACGGTGATGCCGCCGCTGTTGAGCCTAAGGAGGCCAAGAAGGATGACAAGAAGGAGGCCAAGACCGACAAGAAGGTCCAGTTCGCCAAGAACCTCGAGCAGGGCCCTACCCCCTCCGGCGACAAGCCCACCGGCACTCTCGGCGTTAAGGAGGTCCGTGGAGTCAAGATTGATGACAAGAAGCTTGGAAAGGGTGTCGCTGCCAAGAGCGGCAACACTGTCGCTATGCGCTACATCGGCAAGCTCGAGGACGGCAAGGTTTTCGACTCCAACAAGAAGGGCAAGCCTTTCACCTTCAAGCTCGGAAAGGGCGAGGTCATCAAGGGTTGGGATATCGGTGTTGCCGGCATGGCTGTCGGTGGTGAGCGTCGCATCTCCATCCCTCCTTCTCTCGCATACGGCAAGAAGGCCCTTCCCGGTATCCCCGGCAACTCCAAGCTTATCTTCGATGTCAAGCTCCTCGAGATCAAGTAAACTGCTCGACATTGGCATCCGTCTTTTTCATCGGGGTGTTTGAGGTGACCGGTTCAATTGCATCATTCCTGTGATATCCATTGCTGTCTCTTTTTTCAGTTCACTCCCCCACTGCATTTGGCAGGGATGAGATGATCGCGAGGAATTTGTATCCCTGCATGGAAAAAGTGACCATTTGCTGTTTATTATATACTTTGTACTAGTTTCTTTATGAATTGATCATATGGCTGAGTCTTAATCTCTCTTTCAGTGCAAAACCTGTCTTCTTTAACTCTCTTTTATATAATATGAGCTGTATACCTCGCCTCCTTCGCCTCCTTGCCCTTGCGTCGCAACAAACTCGAATAAGAAACCGCGCACGTCAAATAAGAGAAATAAATAAGGCTGCCTGATGCATCCATGGATGGTCTTCTATTTTTGTCATTAAACGTGGGTATTCTTCGTTTCTACATGTAGTCTTGGGTGTCAGTTGTCCCCTTTGCCTTTCTGAGGCTATGGGGGCGATTGGCGATCAACGTCATTGCCTCTTTCCAGCCGCCAACCTCTAGAGCCTCCAAGGCTCACTCAGTCGATTAATCACTCCAATCATTCTTTGTTCTAACATATTGGCTTACCATCATTTGTGATACATTACCCCCATCCCTTCCTGTTCTTTCTTGTCCAATAAATCATGGTCATCTACCCAACTGTGATCACTCCCCGCAGATAAGGCCATGACTCGTGACTGTTCTGGCGCTTATCGATTCGATCAGCTTCAATCCTAACATTTGTGTTGTACAACATCTCATAACACTTTGATTATCAGTCTGTATTGCGACATGGACAACGGCGACCGCATGTTATGCCATGCCTGTGGCGGGGTCTGGATTAGGGATGGTGATTTGACGTGCCCACATTGTCAATCCGAGTTCACAGAAATAGTACGGCAGATGCTTTGTCTCTTGGTTTATTTAATTCTAACAATTTCTCTTACTTCAGATTGAAATCCCCCCAGAACCGCCTTCCGAAGGTTCCCCCTCATATCGTGCCGACTCCTCGTCGCCTCCACGCATCAACCCGTGGGTAGACCATAATCCATGGGAAAGAGAACCACAAGAATCACAAGAACGACAAAGCCCTGGGCTTCTCGGAAGCGGCACTCTGCCATTCTCCTCCTTGCACACATATAGATCGCCCAACGGCCGTTTCTCATTCAGCAGTGCGACGCTTGATACTGGGATGCCTTCTGGTCAGCGCAACAATGGCCCGAACCCTATGGTTCCGATGATGATACAAAGCTTTGACACTCTTTTACAAAGTCTAATGGAGCCAAACCCTCGTGGATACAGGGGATTCGGAGATGACCCCTTCCATCCTCAATCCTCTACCTCTCCCGACTGGCTCGAGGACGACCACCTCACAGGCGGTCACCCAGGCCTATCTCCCCGCAATGGAGATGCGCCGCAACGTATTAACATAAATGAGTATGTAATGGCCCTGTCTTTTGTTATTTTTAGCACACTAATCAGAATCTAGAATCATGGACGCCGTTCGCGCTGACATTGGGGTACAAACTATGCGACGCGCGCGCGGAAATCGTGGTGGCCCGGCAAGCCCACATGCTCTTTCGATATTGTCCGCTATTCTCAACATGACTCGAAGCGGGGATGCAGTTTATTCACAGGAGGAGCTCGACCGAGTCATCACCGAACTGGTTGAGAATACTGGAGGGACAAGCACTGCGGCACCGCCAGCGTCTGATGCTGCCATCCAAGCTTTGCCGAAGAAAAAGGTTAATGAAGAGATGATGGGGTCTGAAGGAAAAGCAGTATGCTCGATTTGCATGGATAATGTTGAGCTTGGCTCAGAGGTCACTGTGTTACCATGCACGCATTGGTTTCATTTCAACTGCATCCATGCATGGCTGACCCAACACGACACTTGTCCGCATTGCCGGCGCAGTATCAATTCAAACACAGAGTAAGTCTACGTCAGTTGTATACACAAACCGAGAACTCTCAGCTGACGGCATATTCCACAGAGCCGTGGAAGGCACCTCTGAGAATCCGGTAGTGATTCAGGATAGTCCTGAGCAGCCAAGGTCCGACCGGCGTCACAGTTCTTCTCGCACTGTGCGCAGCGGTCGATCCTCGTTGTCTTCATTTCAGAGTCGACTCTCCCCACGGATTTCACCGCGCCGGTCCCCTACGCCGGAGGGAGGGGAATCTAGCAACCGACGGTCTAGCCGGGGTGAGGGTAGCAGTGGAGGGGGATTCGCCAATTGGTTTACGAACCGATTTGGAAACAGCTCATGACAAGAATCGACATATCAATCATTATCTGCACGCAGCGGGCCTATTTTACATGCTTCATCTGTCAGTTTTAGCGATTCGGCAGGTTCGATTCCTTTTCCTTTTTTCACGCGATTTCCCTATTCCTCCATACCCCTTTCCTGAGTACTTTCCCCCCGTGCGACGGGGAATTGAGACATGTCTATGTAGTCTCTTGCGGAGAGCCTGTTTTGTAAAGCTGTTCCTTCCTTTACCCCATGTACATACATACATCTCATCTCACACATTGTCATGCCTTTGGGTCAATCAGTGCATATACCATAGGAAGATTCTCTTTTGTCAATATTTGTTTCATCTCCGAAGAAGACGGTCTAAAGCTGCAACGTTGGGCTCGGACTCTCCTTGCATCACACCTTCGCGATCTGGCTGTTCCGGTTTGTTTGTAATTCATGGGTGTTGAGCGTTTGACTTGGTATTGAAATTTACAGGACACACCTATTACTATGTATCATTGATAGTCGGGGAGCATGGAACATCGTAATCCATTCAACTTACCAGTGCTGTAGCTGTGTTTTCTTTCATATAAAATTTAAGGCCACTCTCTTCCACTGAACTGGGCTTGTGGTTTAGTGGTATAATACTCCCTTAGCATGGGAGTGGTCCGGGGTTCGATTCCCCGCGAGTCCATTTTTTTGTTTTGTTTTGGCTTTATACCCATCCTCTCTGAAGATGGGTTGGGGGTCTTTTTATTTTATCTTGTAAATCAAGCCTAAAAAGTATTTCGGTCTATTTCAAATATACTCTTTTTTCTACCCAGGGTCGGGCGTTCTCCATCCATGGATATCTTGGCTTCCGTCTTTGTATATAACCAGTCGGTGCTGTCTGCGTGGACTGGCTTGGATTAAGACCTTCACGATGATAAGCAAATCCAACTTTCTAAGGTACTCATAGAAGCAAACGTCCATATTGTATCTGCCTGCTCGGACAAGAGAAAGGTACTAGCGAACCATATGATCGGCCAGGCCCGGTTGACGACAATGATGAGTACGCAGTCCGCGGCCTTGGATGAAAAAACGTTTCGAACCCAGCATGGGTATTAAGAATCCTGGGTGGTTATTCCAATGGGCTTGCCTATATACCACAGGGCAAATGTTTTGAAAGCAATGTGGTTTCTGTGGCTGAAATCATACATCTTGGTCGGGCACAAGGGTTGAATTGCTATAGGTGATGAGCCCTGTAGCATGAAACTTGGCGCAGCGGCAACCGCCGTCGTATGGTTTCGGGTTAGCTAAATAGTCCGGCATTCCGAGGTGCACAGTCAGGTGGCTCAAATTCTTTGAGGGTTACTTAGGTGGCGTACTAAAGCCAGATCCCCTGAACAGAGTAATTACAACTGTTTTATCTTATAGCGGCGTGTGTTAACCCCTTGAACTGAATAATGACTCGCTGAGTACATGTTTAGTTTATATCCGAGACAATTCTTTTAGTAAAACCAGGGCGAATGACTTAAGAAATGTACGACTCGGTATCTGAAATTTCATCTCCTAGAAGTTCATGACTTCTGCAGACTCGTATTTGAAATGAGCGGATATCTATCACATCTTATATTATACGATGATAAGCCTCATGGGGTCAAATCGCACCCGCAAAGATCCAAACAGCTGACCATGTTCTAGATTGGCGCATATGGCATTGAAACCCGGGTGTTTGGAAGACATGATATCGACCATGCGGGGTCCAGGCATGTGATAACATGTTCCAGAGGCAAAAAGCAACTATAAATTGTTTGTTAAGATAGTATTTCATTTAAAATACAACCACCAAATTCAAAATCCATCTAATATCTCAGACATGCTTTGCCTTGCCTGACAGCAGAACCCGTTATTCAAACCCATTATTCGACGACTTCATGCCTCCGGCCCCACGAGGGCTGGCTCGTCGTAAACCACGACCGAAACGGATTTAGGAGTCTCTGTGGTCGTGCTGCTTTGCGTTCTCTCTTGTCGCACTGCATGTCCATCCAGACAGTTGGGGTGATGATGCGAGGCGGTGGTTGGGGGTAATCAGATTTGGGCTCGGAACTTGAACTGATCCAGTTCAACTCTCCTTCAACCCTTGATGCGTTTTTGACTGGCCATTCTGAAGAGGGATTCTCCACAGTTGCCGAGGGTGGTATGGGTGTATCGTTAAGATGCGTAGATGGACATGACATTGGGAACGCGGCTGGACTTGGTCCGGGCTTTGAATGGACCGTTATGTGCTCAGGATATGCAGAACCCGAAAATGCAGGTGTGTCGTTGTTCCCGAGAGTCGGATCCGTGTGAGAGGACTGTGTACGATCCTCTACCCACTCCATCCCCATTGATAAGTCGAACCTTCTTCTCGTACTCTTTGTCCCGGATAGCGTAAAGTTTTCACAAAAGGTAGCATACGACCGGTGAAGGCGCATCTCTCTCGCTTCCTCGACGTCAACAATAGGGCATCCCTCAATATTTTCGTGAATACGATCGCATATTTCAACCTCAGGAATCTGATGAGCTGGCGAGCATAGACCGTGCGGATAGACATCTGTTACGTCGTTGAGATCTTTAAGATTCTTTTCACTCAATGCATGTTCTTGAACTCTGACCCTGAGGATTGTTTGGGATATTCTCTTGGAAACCCTCCTTGTGAGCTGGGCAACTGTGTTTCTTCGGAGCGAGTGTCGGGATTGCTCTATCGAGTCTTGAGTAGAGAAGGTATCACTTGAAGCGAAGGAAGCATTGTCATTGACAATGAGGATATCAGGCATTTTGAATAGGTGGGGTTCAAATGGTAACTGAGGGAAGAAGATGAAAGCTCAGGCTGGGAATAAATAATTTCTCATAGCAAACCGTATTCAGTTTGATTGGGAGTTGAACGAAAAGAGGCTGAAATATATCCCATACGAGCAAAGGACAGTAAATTCTCACGAAGTACGGAGTACATGGGAGGTACTTCGTACTTATTGTAAATTGATTCGCCGGTATAATAAGAAGATAAGAAGGCCCAGATGCTGAGGCCCGTTGGTACTTTTGTACGGTTAATACAATTCATATCGCTAAGGTGGGACAGGTCTCTATTAAAGTATTATCCAGGGGGATTCGGGTTACTTGGAATACTACCCTACACCCTGACAAAGAGCATGTGCCTTGCCTAGGCAATATATCTGCAAGATCAGTTCGCACTTTGCCTGTTATCGTGGTACCAGGGTCTACCGCTAAGCAAGCCACCATGCGCGAAAGTGGGAGGACGTCAGAGGCTCTTAGAGGCGAAAACGTACGATTAGGCTCGTGGTGGTTAGGTATGGGAGAGTCATACTACTTTTCCAAGTCCTGTACTGAAAAACAATTCTATTGTCTATTCACCTGCATTTGTCTGAAACCTTTTCGAGCATAATAAACAAGGTTGCAATCTCGTAAGACACCAGACAAAGGGACAGTGAGACATTCTCACCCCACCATTGCCAACTAACGGCGCTACCTAGCAGTAGCCTAGTCTCGGACATTGCATCTAAGGCCTAACTAGGCTCCTATTGGATACGGTTCACATGTGGCCCATGATGTCCGTGCGAACCTATTCGATCCTAGAATCATTTGTCCACGGTGAATCCGGTTCAAGCCTCAAGAGTTTAATTGGAAAGGCCAGAAGACCAAATCGTATCATAAAGCTATGTTTATTTACAGAGCCCTTTAAGGCAGGTATAGATGTATCGAAAGGCAATAAAAGTACACTCGTGTCACATTATCCAGACACGCCTTCGCGCCCGAGCCCCCAGCGACCAACCTCACGCATGGCCTCATCGCCACCTTCGGCCAGTCGTCCGTTGGTATTAGAGGGGTTGCTGCTTCCCAGGACACCAGCCACACATTGCCAGCCATTGCGGCCACCACCCCACCGGAGGACTTCGTTCTTGTATCGCTCGCCGGCGCCACGATCGGTTGCCGCCTGACCAGACTGGAAGACGTCCTGCCAGAGTTTGTTCGCGATCGCGCGGTCAAAGATATAGCTGTAATACGTGGCACCGTAGCCATACAAGTGGCCGAAGAAGCCCTGCCAAGAGGTACGCGGCTGGACATTGTTTGGGTCAGGCAGACTGGAATACTCAGAAAAGACTCGATGATAGATTTCGGTGGAATCAATGCCAGCTGAGCTGATTTCAGCTGGAATCGAGTGGTACGCCTGATCAACGAGCGCCATGAGGATCTGTGCTTCATTCTCAACGGCACCATAGATGGACCCATGCGCAGTGCGGTCTAGCTCCATGCTCTGCATCATGCTCTCGGACAGAGGCTCGTCGGTCTTCCAGTGTCGCGCGTAAAGGCGCAGCACCTCTGGCGCAGTCGCAAAGCTCTCCATCAACACGGAGGGAAGTTCGGCGAAGTCCGTGGCGCACCGAGTACCAGAGATGGACTGCAGAGGCGTTTGGCCCAGGATGGAGTGAACCGCGTGCCCCATTTCGTGGAACAAGGTGCGAACACTCTGCTCACTCAAGAGAGTTGGCTGGCCAGTGCCATTGGCCTGAGGTTCCTGGAAATCGCACACGAGCGCAATGGTTGGGAGTTGGCGCAGAGTGTTAGTTTGCGGATCCACACCAGTGGCCATGCCGTCATTCGGGTGCGCAGATTGGTTCATAGAGGCACATTCGGCGATCTCCTCTGCAGAGATTTCGCGCGAGCAACGCAGAGTAAAGTGAGCTGGATTCGGGTGTTTGCTCGGCCGTGTAAACAAGTCACAGTAGACGACTGCAATATGATTCTCCGATTCATCCACCACATCCAATCGACGAACATCTGGATGCCAAGTCTCGCCGGGAGATGCTTCATGAGGGACTAGACGCACACCATACAAACGGTCAAAGAGTCGAGAAAGACCTTGCATCACCGTTCCTAAAGAAAAGAACTCGTTGATAATACCCATGTGACGAGAGCGACGAGCTTGGGAATACTCCAGAACGCGCTTGTGAACGTAGTATGCGTGGTCCCAGGGCCGTAGGGGGGAGCCTCCCTTCAAGCCCTGCAGCTTAGACAGTTCTTCCCGGACTGGACCTTGGTTGCTTGACACAAGCGAAGTCAAGAAGTTGGATACTGCCTCCGGCGTCTTGGCCATTTTGTCGCCGAGAGTCATGTGCGCAAAGCTAGTGTAGCCCGTAAGTTGTGCTAACTCTGCCCTCTTCGCTAGAAGTTCCTCCAACCTTTGAATTTGGCGCTTGCTGGATGTTCGAGTGGCGAGATAGATGTCTTTACGAACGTCTTCATCATGCACCGAGCGCAGAGCAAGTCGAGGAACAATTCCCATAGTCGGGACTGGCGCTTTCTTATTCCATCGCTTGATTTTGGAGATAACCATAGGATCCAATCCTTGGAGGCTGTTGGCTCCGAAGACCACCTGGGACCTTGCAGGCTCCGCGCCGTTCATGAAATCGGAACCTAACTGGCTAACATCGTTCGAGAGATTTACAAACCGCTGCCTCACATTGGGTGGCATATGAATTGCAGAGTTCGAGAAATCTTTGTTGAGGATCTGTGCCACGATCCGTTCTGCCTCGGTCCAGTATGAGGTCACGTTGGGGTCGTTCAAGGCCTTATTGAGCTGTTTATGGAGCCCTGTTGTCGTGTTCAAGACGTTCATATATTCAAACATAAGAGCCCACGCCTGCGTGGCTGCTTCTTGTATCCGCGGATCGGGGTGAATGGTTCGAATGAAGTCGGACAGATCGATGACGCGACACAGGAGATCGCTCAGCTGGTCAAGGTCTCGTGCCAAGGCCCTGTACTCTTCAACCGTTGAGGCAGCAAGCACCTTGGCTACGATAGCTTGGCATTTCTGCAGCGAGATATTTGCGAATGTCCTGAAGCCCTCGGGGCTTGTTAGGTATTGGTTTTGGACCAATCCGGCTCGCCTTGGGACTGTGCTGGTGCGTCGCTGGGAGAACTCATTCCAGAACGGTTGGGAATCAAAAACGCGGCGCAGAGTATGGTCATCGGTCTTCTTTCTTGGTGCACTGTTATCTGCTGGAATGTACTCAAACGATGTCGACGGAGAAGATGCGGCATTCTCGAACGCTCGAGACTGGGGCCGCAGTTGCAGGCATTTGGGACATGTCCATGTTCGTCGCAAAGAGCGAAGCATTGTAAATACTGTATCAAAAGCAGATTAAAACCATTGGAGATTGTAAATCCACAAATCCCCCATTGAAAGGAACATAGAGTCAAGGAGAACGGGCAATGACGGAGTTTTCTGGAGTTTCCGCCGAGCCGAAGAATTCCCGTGCTGCTCCAACACGACTTTGCTTCATCCTCACTACCAGCTCCCCCCCGTCCTCCTCCCCCCCCCACACCCTCAGGATGTCATTCCGGCCGATGTTGCAGCAGGTATGCCATTCTATAATTGCTTCCTTTCAAGTTGGATGCAATTGATTCCCCGATGTCCCGTCCCCATGCTGACTGGTGCCCAGCGGGCTGTGGCTCCGATCGCAGCCACTCTCCTCGCGGGAGGTGTTGCTCTGTACCCTAAGAAGACCGCATTCGCAGAAGAGCCCCGAGACAATGTATGACTAGATCTGTCCCTAGCTCTATTGAATTTATGAAAGGCTTGGTCTGACACACGACTGCTTCCCTAATATAGCGGAAACCTATCTACGATGACTTCCCAGCCGACATTCCTGAACCCTCGAAACGCCCACAGCTTGCTGCGCCTGCTACTCCTAAGTTGGTCTCCGCACCGGCTGCGCAAACAGCTCCCTCTTCGCCCACTCCGACAGACATCCTGACCGCTCAGGTCCGACAAGCTCGCCTCTTCCTCTACTCACACTCCCTTGCCGCAGAGCAGGGCTTCAACAACTTCCTGTCTCGGGCCCTCAACATCGAAAACTGCTTTACCAACACTGTTGCCTCGCTCGCACCTTCTGCCGAGTCCGGCGAACGTCTCTTGCCCGGCGGTGTCTATGTCGTCGTGGCCGCCATGGCCGGATCGATTGTCTCGCGTAACCGTGGGATCTTCCTCCGCACTGCATCGCCGCTCGCTTTCGGTACTGCTGCCGCCTACACCCTCCTGCCCGTGACGATGCGGAATGTCGGAGACTTGGTTTGGGAGTACGAAAAGAAGGTCCCTGCCGTTGCGGAGCAGCACGTGGCTATCCGTGAGCGTGCGGAGCACATCTGGTACACTGGCATTGCGCACAGCGGAATGGCACGCCAGATGATGGAGGAGAAGATCGGTGACACCCGGAAGAAGTTGGAAGAGCTGGTGAGCAAGGGCCACTAAATATAGCCCGGCTGTTTGGGGCTATAGAGCGGATTTGTTTGTTGCATATGTACGCTTAGAACTCGTAGATCCGAAGACATAACCGGATTGATTCCTTTTGTTTGAATCGTTCAGTCATAAAGTAGGCGACCTGACAAGCCTCTATGAGGGTAGCTTGCAATTAGGAATAGGTAGCTTGCGATGATCTACATAATTGATTCCGTCATACTCTACATTAAATTGATTTCTGATTCTAAGCTATTCCTTCATTCTTCCTGCGCAGGTCCTGGAGATCCTTCCGGCGCAGGGCTTTCCGAGTGAGAGGACGAGACTCCTACCTTCGGCGGCGGAGGTAGAGGAGTTCCATGCCGTGAGGGTGCATAGTCTTGCTCCCGACTTTTCTCCTCACCCTCTGCGAAGTAATCATCAAAGACTCTGTTTGGCGATGCTGCTGGCCGTGATCTCCCTGCGCGGCGGGCAGCGGGCGATCTGCTCTCTAATGGCGAAGCACCTCTTGCTTGAGCGGAG